GGTGCTCAGCAGTCCTGGGCTCCCTCCCCCTCCTGCTCCGACTCCTCTCCTCCCGCCAGGGGCCGGGGGCACGGGTGCTCAGGTCCCGCCGGGCCAGGGCTTGTATCTTACCCCCTTCACGAGGTGCTGGGTTCTCACAGGTGTGGATGTGGTCTGGATGTTGTCCTGTGTCCTCTGGTCTCTATTTTAGGAAGAGTTGTGTTTGTTATATTTTCATAGATATATGTGGTTTTGGGAGGAGATTTCTGCTGCTCTGCTCACGCGCCATCTTGGGTCCGCCTTCCCCTTTTGCTCTTTGGGTTCTGTTCCGGGTCAGATCTCTCTCCCTGAGCTGGGACATAAAGCCACCCCACTGCTAGTAGAGCATGTGGTAGTTGTGAGAGCTGTTCCTTTTTAAACCTAAAGTGAATGTAGCTTGTGCAAAGTTAGTATCCTTAGAATACTCTTGAAGACATAGTTTACTTAATTTGTTAAAACAAAAACATTCAAAACACTTTTTGAATGGATAGCAAAGTTTACAGTATTCTAAGCTGCTTCCTGGTTTATTTTGTGTGTATGAACTAGGCAAGTTTAGTAGATTTCATTCTTTTGATAAATATTTATTGAGTGCTTATCTATGTACCAGGTAACTTAACACCGGGGATGTAAAACCAACAAAAAGCCCTCAGCCTTTGCGGAGCTTATATGTTCATGGAGGCGGACAGACAATAGACGAGATAAAATAAGTAAGAGTACCTAGGTCCAAAATTCCATAAGTGAAATCTAAGGAACTGATGTGTTTTGAATTCAAAATTTTTTTTAATTTTAGAAAGGTAATGCGGAATTACATTATATATTACCTAACCTCTGGGGGCAGCGGGAGGTGGGGGGAGAGGGTGGCCTTGAAGCAGTAATCAAACCAATTAATATTTAATGTGGAAGTATGAACAGACACACTCAGTAGGATAAAGACTATAGCAGCTTCATGTTACTACAAGTGAGATATTTCTGTAAAATGAACATTAAAGGCTAATTTTTGAAAAAGTGAAATTATGACTGCTTCAGATACCAAATGAACTCATTTTAAAGAATTTATTTAACTTATTAAGTGAAGGAACCATGTAGATACTATAACCCATTCAGAGAGAATCTTAAGAACAGAATTCATTTATAGATGAGGAATATTAAGATGATGTACACATTGAGGTGAAATTAGCTTCTTTCGTATTGGGAGAGGAAGTTCGTGAACTCTACTGGACTGAACAGAATTTGCATGCATATAGCCAAGGATAATTCTGCATTATTGTCTGTTTTACCTATAATGGTACAGGGTTGTAAAATAGCTTCTATAGACTCAGAATCAGATAACCTGAAAGGATGTATTTTTTTTTTTATTGAATGCATTTGTTTCCATTGAAGTGTGGACTTTTTTCCTGAAGGCGAGTACTGAAAGCTTTTGGTGTTCTGAGCTCTTTGGAATCACCGGTCAGGATAGAGCTCCCGTGTGCTCGACAGTGATGGGGCCTGTGGAGCAGGGAAGGTGCGGAGGGAGGCTGCAGTTTTCAGGTGGGCCGGCGACCCCCTGACGGGGTTGTATTGGGAATCGAGCTGAAGCAGATGAGGGTTTTTTTGTCTGAGGTGCTGTAGTGCTGAAGTCGCTATTGACTGAGATGGGGAAGAATAGTCGGGGTAGAGGTCATGGCCTTGGTTTTGGCTTTTAGGCATTCACGTAGCTGGTGTTCTGGGAAGCTCTGTGGGCCAGAGATAAACACTCGGGAGTTGATGTGTGTGTATGGGTGACATTTAAAGCCACAAGCTGAATGAGATCACTGAAGACCTTCTGTGAGCCCATATTGTATTAGTCCCTGGGGATACAGAGATAAATTAAAAATTGTCATTGTCCTCAAAAGCTTGTGATCTGATATGGGAGGCAGTGGTAAACAGTTAAAGCCATGTAAAAATACACATGTAAATACACATTAAGTACAGATGATTGAATGAAACTAAGTCTGAGAGTCTTACATCGCCCTAAACTCGCTTGTTTTGTGACCTGACTGTGAGAGACACACAGAATATAGTCCAAGCGTGGTGCCTTCTGTGTAGGCTGCTTTCTCCACTGACCTGCTTGCTCAGCATGCTTGCACTGCTGACTCGGGAGACTTGCTGGTGACCCTCGTGCCCAACTGACCAGGCTTCTCAGGACCTGGCGTTCACCTTGTCTCGTGCTTAGCTTCTCCAGACCTGTCAGCAGTGGTCTGTTTGTGTTTCTGAAATACCCCTTGGCTGTGGGGTGAAAGATGCATTAGAGGAAGGACCAGAATCGACACAGACAGCATTAGTTTGCTGTTTCTTTGCCTCCATCTGCCTTTACATTTAGTGACTTACAGAGATCTGTAAGCCAGGGAAGGCGTAACAGGTGTGCAGAAATGGAAAGTGTAATGACTAGAGCTAGAAAATGCAAATTTGGGGGTTAGGGGAAAATTTCTAGTAATGCATGCAGTTGCAAACTTTCTGTTTTTCCCTCCTCAAAAAACTAAACACAGGATTACCATAGGATCCAGCAATTCCACTTCTGGGTGTATAAAAGAATTGAAAGTAAGGACTCAAACTGATATTTGTATGTTATTGTTTAAGGTAGTATTGTTAATTAAAGCCAAAAGGTGGAATCAAGCCAAATGTGCACGGAGTGGTGGAAGGGATGAGCGGATAAGCAAATACGCTGTGTACGCCCAACAGAATATTATTTAGCCTGAAAAAGGAGGCAAGTTCTGACATGTGCTGTGACACAGATGACCCTTGCAGACATGTTAAGTGAAAGAAGTGAGACCCATATGTTGAATGATACCCCTTATATGATTTACCTGGAACAGGCAAAGTCACAGGACAGAACATACAGTAGTGGCTGCCAGGACGGGGGAGGGAAGATGTTCAGTGGGACAGTTGGAGTTTGAGGTGCCGAGAAAGTTCTGGAGAGAGGATAATGGTGACTGTTGTGTGCATGTCAATGTTAATGTCCTTAATGCTTGTGTATCTCCCACCCTTTATAGAGTCACCTAGAGAAACCATGCAACTGTTAGAACAAGAAAGATTTCTGTATACGAATATAGACTGATATGGAGAGATTTTTAAGGTTAACCAAAAAGAAAGAAAAGATAAAGTGCTATCTCTTGTGTAAATAAAGGCAAATAAAAATGTGTAGTTTATTTGCCAAAGAAACACTGGGCGGATTAACAAGTGGCTAGTAAGAGTTGTTATGTCTCGGAGGCCAAGACTGGGATCATGGGGGCCAGGGTGGTGGTGAGACCCCTCAGTGCATGTCTTTCCATGTACTTTCATTTTTGAACTGTTGACAAAAAATTCATTAAAGGCACCTTGAATAAAGACAGAGTTTTATTTGAGCGTAAGGACTTAGAAGCCTGGAAACAACTCCCATGGATAGAAGAAATGTTTCAAGGAGCCCGAGTCATATACATAGGTTTTTGTATCTTCAGTGAGACAGGCAAGAAAGAGTTTCAGAAGGCTACATCCATTACATAAAGGAGGCCGTGCTCAAAAACAGCCACGGTCAGAGGGTGTTCAGGGGAAGGGCGAACCTCGCTGACCCCTCCCTACGTCCTTGAGCAGGGCTCTGGCCGGCAGAGGGGAGCAGCTGGACTGGTGCACACTTCGTTCGGCTTCTGCTTGGTTTTGGTTAACTCGCTGTTAGAGAGCCAGAAAGCTTATGTCTTCAAGGGCGGCCTTTTTGAGACTCCCAGAGTTACTAGAAGGTTCTGTGCCCATGCTTTGGACCTTTCAGGTGGTCTCCAGTGTGGTGCTCAGCTGCTGTTTAGTTCACAGAACCATTTAATGTATTGCCTGTTCAAAATAACGTTAAAACATGGGACTTAAAGTCCATTCATTGTAAAGGGATCAACAATCTGTAGTCACAAAAAACATAAATTTTTAGAGGTTGTGATTAAATATTACTCCCCGTGACTTCTGCTGTCCAGGGGTCAGGGAGCTGCCTGGGCCAGTGTTTGGTATTTCAGCAGCCTGGTTTAGGTGAAGGTGTGCGTCACCTTCCCTTCCACTGCGGGCAGCAAAGAGAACATGTTCTGGGTAAACACTTCAGTAAGGACAAGCTCTCTAGGTTCTTAATTTCCGGGGAGCCACCAAGAGAGAGGTGGCTGCTCGCTGTGCCTGGGGCGGGCCCTCCTCCCGAGGTTCTGTGCCTGAAGGTGACCGTCCCGGGCCTGGGGGCCTACGGCGGCCAAAAGCAGGAACCTGTCAGGATGTGGCTCTGCCTCCCTCCAAAGTGCCACTTAGCTGACCCAGTCATTAATTAGGAGCGTGTTATGTGTAGCGTTTGTATTTGAAGCGAGAAGCAGAATCGCCTAGCGTTTCTGAGGCCGTGGGAACAGAGAAAGCAGCCGTAGCTGAGCTCCACCTAACCCTACCCCTGCTCCTCACCGAGCGAGTGGCACTGTTGGGTCTTCCTGGTCATGTCTCTCCAGCTGCTCTTCCCACCTAGACCCAACAGGAGGTACAGGCAGAACCCCGAGGTGGTGACAGGCGCAAGGCGGGCCCGGGCCGCCCGGCACCCTGCCTCCTACCGCGTAGCTGCGTTCCAAGGCCCCGGGTTGGAGGGGAGCCCAGGGAATCATATCCGGCTGTCATGTCCGAATTATGGCTGGTAGAGCGCAAGGCGGTCAAGGTACAGGTGCAGACAAGGGGCCGAGGCACAGAGCCGGACCTCGGGACCTCGGACCGCGGACCTCGGAAGCCTGTTGCCAAAAGCAGTGAAGAATTGGGTGGCTGGGAAATAGTCTAGGAGGGTTCCGGAGGAGCTGAGACGATTTTCACGTGACTCCAGCACAGACACTCAAGAGGTGTGCTTTACTTATTTAAAGTGATTTGATTGGGTAGGCCATTAATTTTTTTCTGCCTCATTGATCTGTTTGTCTGTGTTCCCCACTACATTGTGGGAACTGAAGACAGGGCTTTAGCTGTAATGGAAAAAGCATGGACTTTGGAACCAGGCAGATTACCTAAATCCAACCTCTTCTCTCTTTGATTTTGGTCAAGCTATTTTTATTACACTGAACCTCAGGGTCTGTATGCATCACAGAGTTTTAAGGGTTAAATGAGAATAAAGCATTCATATGACTTCATCTTACACGTAGAGAGTATCCAATACAAGCCTCTGCTCCCTCTCCCTTATTGTAACATGCACAGAGCTTTACATTTAGGAAGCACTTGCAGTAGTTATCAGATTGGGTATGTTTCTCCCTACCTATTAAATCTGAACCCTGGTTAAGGATAGCATGAGGTAGGCATATTTATGAGGTCCTCACCTTGGGAAGCTAAAGTTGTCGTTGCTGAATGTTCTATCAGACGTATCGCGTTGCCAAGTGCTAAGTCTTCGCTTGCTGGTGTGGTCCCTCGTTGTGTCTTTCTTATTATCAGTTCAGCTTGAAGCCTCTGTTTTGTGAACACCTGTTCCTTTTCTCTGTCTACAAGTGCCTCTTCTCCACACCTCTTCCAATGAGTGACTCGTGCCCTTACATTCACTGCTCTTCTAAGCAAGCTTGAACCTTGAACCGCAGGCCGTGTCTTTTGTCGTGTCCTCATCGAGCATGTGCTGTGCTGAGGTGGCTGTGGATGGTACTGACACGATTCCTGCCCCCATGAAGCTCTTCCTCTGGTAAAATAGATGCGCACATACCAAAATGTATTTAATTATTTAGTGATACAGTATTCCTTTTGTTTACCATTTAAAATGAGCCCATTTTCAAAACACACATACACATAGGAAAAGAATCAGAAAACATGCACCAAGATGTTGACAGGCTGTCTCTGAGTAGTGGCATTTTTTTTAAATTTTATTTTGCATATCTAGGTTGTCTACACTTTCAAAAATTTCGTTTGACGTTCCAGGAAATTCTTACTTTCCTCCATGCTAAGAGCATAGTGACCCATCTGTTCCTCTTGCATTCAGCTTTTGCGGGAATTGAAGCACCCTAACGTGATCGCGTTGCAGAAGGTGTTCCTTTCTCACAGCGACAGGAAGGTGTGGCTGCTGTTCGATTACGCGGAGCATGATCTGTGGGTAAGTCTGAACTCATGTCACTTGAGGACTCTTTTCTGGAGAGGTAAATGCGCGTACCCGCCTACTGCTCGTGCGCCGGGAAGGAAACTTGCTCTGTTGACCAGAGTTCAAAACAAATCTCATAAATGTAAATGCAGGCTTAAGGGAACTTGAGCAATAAATATTACCATCTTGCTTCAGTGAGAAGATAGTATTTGTGATATTTGGAAATTTCACTTTTTAATATGTTAATAAACAGGAGACTAATTTTATGCAGGTGACTTATGGCAGTTTGCTAGTGTGCATAGGGAACATTACTTCTGTGGTGCTCAGCAGGGGCTCAGATTTAACCAGGTAGGGACTTGGGAGGAGTTTCTCTGGGTTAAGGTCAGTCTCTTGCAGCATTTTGCCATTTAAAACCAATTCCACAAAACAGAAGTATATGTGTGGTTTTACAAATATTAGGGACATTTTATCGCTGTATAAAAGAAGGCAGAAATTCTAATTCTAGACGTTTAAAGTTTGGGATCAGGGCATTTAAACATTTTTATTCAAGGAGTTGCTTAAAGTAAAAATATTGAAACCTGGCAGTAGGTTCAAATTTGGGATAACTAAATTTTGATGCAATATGGTGTGATTTGTCATCAATACAAATTACAGACCTATTTAGGAATAACTTTAAAAGACTCATAGGTTTTAAAGGAACGTTCAAAGTGTATGCTATTATAGCAGATATTGACAAGAACCTCCAGTGTGTACTTCTCTATTCTTTTCATGGATATTCATAAAAACTGTACTTTCCCCATTTCTTTATTGCCTGTATTTCTACCAAGGTTTACTTGATATAATGTATGTACTTCACTTTGACCATCAGCGATGCGATGAAAGAACATGTGGTCAGCGGACTCCTCAGGCCCTGAAGAACCGTGTTAGTGTGTGGCCAGCAGCCACATGGCCTATTGAGCACTTGAAATGTCACTGATCTGAACTGAGATGTGCTATGAATATAAAATACATGCTGACTTTTGAAGACTTTAGTATGAAAATATGTAAAATGTCTCAATATTTTTTATATTGATTACATGTTGAAATGATAATGTTTAAATTTATTGGGTGTAATTAAAATATGTTAATTTTACCTTTTCTTTTTAAATGTGACTATGTAAAGTTGAAAGTTACATGTATGTGGCTCCTGTTATATTTTTTATGGACATTGCTGCTACAGTATAAACTCTAATTTTCTATTATTTCTTAAAATGCATGTTGTTAAACAGTTTATAAAAAATCAGATAGCTATATAAATAGCTTAATAATTTTTCACACCATTTGGCCATTTTAAAGCTAGTGGAACATTGTCAAGAACTTCACCAGTGTTGTTTAAGAGGGTTTTGAATGGCCCCCAGTGCCCATTGTGGCAGGGGTGGGGTAGAGCTGGAGGTGGGGGTGGGGAGGTAGCAAACATTTCTTCCCTTATATTACAGTGTTTTTATAACCCACCATATAAAGTATTAACATAAAAATTTGAATCTGGAGATCCAGTTGTATTCATTTCGTAGGATTGAATTCCCCTTTTTTCTCTCCCTCCTTTCTTGTGATTTCTTATTTAATATTAACTTCCAGGACTATATCCTAATTTCACTCCATGCTAGAATGCTTTCCAGTATTCAAAGAAACAAAGTCAGTGATGTTACACAAATGTACCTTTTTATAGACTAGAGCAAACTTGTCATAAAACAGTAAGATTGACAGTTTTTTCATCTTCTAAAAGACCTTTCATTCTGTCAGTAGAGAATACACTAGTATTCTTATAGGCAGGCTTTTAAATATCAATAATGTCTTCCTTTGTATCCTGTTTAATGGACACCTTAGTGGTTTTAGTAAATCTAGTCATTGTGTCCATATTCAACACTGTCCCAATCACCCCTAGATTTTTTTTAATACAATTTTTAAAATTAATGTGTTGTGGATATATACTCTTAAGAAGGTTTCACATGAAAAAAACAATGTGGTTACTACATTCACCCAAATTATCGAGCCCCCCCCCCATACCCCATTACAGTCACTGTCCCTGGGATAGATTTAGTTTTAGTTGGCCTTACTATTCAAATTATTTTTATTTGTGTCATTATCATCCTTTAATAAGTAATTTTAAAAGTAGAGAATTTATCACAGACTTGATTGTGTTTTATTGACATATATTAGCAAAACTATATATCATTATAATGTATATTTTTTAATTTTTAGCATATTATTAAGTTTCACCGTGCATCAAAAGCAAATAAAAAGCCCATGCAGTTACCAAGATCTATGGTTAAATCATTACTTTACCAGATTCTTGATGGTATCCATTACCTCCATGCAAATTGGGTGCTTCACAGAGATCTGGTAAGTATGTTTCTTTTAAAGTGATCAGTATGCATTTTTTCTCTCTCATTTAAAAAATATTTTTCCTTTTGGTGCAATTATGATAAACATTAGAGAAAATTTTGAAAAATGCACACAAGTAAAAAAGAAGGAAATAATCACCTCATAAACGGTCAAAAGGTACATGATTAGCTTTCAGTGTATGTTTTTTCCATTATGTTCATGCATAGCCATGAAATGTCAGTGTGTTTTTTCAAGAAATGATTGGAATAGCCTTAATCAGATAGTTGTATGTGAAACAAGTACCTTTCTCTCAATTTTGTTTTTGTATTATTGCTCATCATTAGTAAAAACATTAATAATTAAAGTTCTCGTTTTTTCCTTTAAGAGCTAAATTGCAATAATGACATTGCACCCAGTAAATAGAACGTTGTTTCAGTATTAATAATAAATAAGTGAATAAATCTAACAGGTAGAATATACGAATTGGGCTAACTAGCCACAGTTCAGGCATTTGCTTTTACTTTTTTATTCAGTACACACACAAACATTCATCCATGCCTAATGCTCTTCATCCTTGCATTGTTGTTATTTGATATGTTGATGATTTTTTTGCTTGTTCTTATGAACATAGGGGTACTGAATAGCTGGGATACCCATGAGTTTCTAACTGAAAGTGTTATTTTGACCCCACACCCCCTACAAAAGTGGTTTCATGATCATTTATTTCTTAGGCTTTGGGAGATACTAGGGATTGGGTAATCTAGGTTGACTCAGTTTTATTGAGAAGTATCTATTACAGAAAGGAGTGAATACACAAGAATCCAGGTAGAACCTCTTGCTACCTTGTCATCAAGCCTAGTCATCCAACTTGACCGTTCCTTGCCTTGGCATTGAAGGCAAATTGTCACCAAGTGATCGTGAGCACGATGCATTGCGCCACCTCGTTTCACACCGTGAGGGTCTCAAGACTGCCACCTGTCTGTCCACCTTACTGTTACCCATGCTTCATGTTCTTAGGCAGTTCTTGGGTATGTGAGGATGTTCTAGATCAAAACCTCCTTCATAAATGGTTATAGATTTTAATTTGCTATATACTTAATTTAGCCTATGTGAATTGTTTTTGAAGTTACTATCATGTTTGAATCATAGATCAGAATTTTTTATTGAAGATTAATTTCAACTCTCTTCACCCTCTCTTCAACCATAAAATGGTAACTTCAACTCTCTTTCAACCATAAAATGGTAACTACGCTGATTTATCATGGTGAGCTCTTAATAGTGTGTATAATTGATGAATCACTAAGTTGTTTGCCTGAAACCAATATAATACTGTATATCACTGTATTTCAGTTAAGTAGGACAGATAATAAACATGTTATGCGTGGTGTCCCCACCTGAACACCACTGGCGCCAAAACTCAGTATGCCCAGGACTCAGTTTTCTCCCACCCAGACTTGCTGCAGGCTTGGTGTCTTCTGTTGTGGCCCCACCACCTTCTGCCCCTGCAGACCCTGTACCCCACTTGCAGAATTTGCCTAGTGCTGCCAGTTTCCCCCCGCAGTCCCTCTTCCATCTGTTCATCCGCAGCCTAGAGCCCTGCCCTGGTCCGGCCTTCGTTGCGCCTCCTGCAGAAAGGCCCTGGCCTCCCGTCTCCTCGCCAGCAGCCTCTTTCCCTTTGGTCCCCTCTACACCTTCTGAATGAGGAGCTCGTGCTCAAGAACTCTGAAATAGTTGCTCCCCGTTTACACACTGAAGCTCTGGTTCCTCATTCGGCATTCAAGGTCTTACCAGATGCAGCTCCAACTGCCATTAGCATTGTTCTTTATGCCTGTGATCTTTCACTTCCACTGTCCTGTTAAACTATTGGTTGTTCCCTGTATGTGCAGGGGTTTACTGCCTCAGTGGCCTTATCACCCCATCTCTGCATGTGCTACTCATGCCTGTCTGTTCAGACCCGCACGGATGCAGACTACAGTATTCCTTTTGTTTACCATTTAAAATGAGCCCATTTTCAAAACACACATACACATAGGAAAAGAATCAGAAAACATGCACCAAGATGTTGACAGGCTGTCTCTGAGTAGTGGCATTTTTTTTAAATTTTATTTTGCATATCTAGGTTGTCTACACTTTCAAAAATTTCGTTTGACGTTCCAGGAAATTCTTACTTTCCTCCATGCTAAGAGCATAGTGACCCATCTGTTCCTCTTGCATTCAGCTTTTGCGGGAATTGAAGCACCCTAACGTGATCGCGTTGCAGAAGGTGTTCCTTTCTCACAGCGACAGGAAGGTGTGGCTGCTGTTCGATTACGCGGAGCATGATCTGTGGGTAAGTCTGAACTCATGTCACTTGAGGACTCTTTTCTGGAGAGGTAAATGCGCGTACCCGCCTACTGCTCGTGCGCCGGGAAGGAAACTTGCTCTGTTGACCAGAGTTCAAAACAAATCTCATAAATGTAAATGCAGGCTTAAGGGAACTTGAGCAATAAATATTACCATCTTGCTTCAGTGAGAAGATAGTATTTGTGATATTTGGAAATTTCACTTTTTAATATGTTAATAAACAGGAGACTAATTTTATGCAGGTGACTTATGGCAGTTTGCTAGTGTGCATAGGGAACATTACTTCTGTGGTGCTCAGCAGGGGCTCAGATTTAACCAGGTAGGGACTTGGGAGGAGTTTCTCTGGGTTAAGGTCAGTCTCTTGCAGCATTTTGCCATTTAAAACCAATTCCACAAAACAGAAGTATATGTGTGGTTTTACAAATATTAGGGACATTTTATCGCTGTATAAAAGAAGGCAGAAATTCTAATTCTAGACGTTTAAAGTTTGGGATCAGGGCATTTAAACATTTTTATTCAAGGAGTTGCTTAAAGTAAAAATATTGAAACCTGGCAGTAGGTTCAAATTTGGGATAACTAAATTTTGATGCAATATGGTGTGATTTGTCATCAATACAAATTACAGACCTATTTAGGAATAACTTTAAAAGACTCATAGGTTTTAAAGGAACGTTCAAAGTGTATGCTATTATAGCAGATATTGACAAGAACCTCCAGTGTGTACTTCTCTATTCTTTTCATGGATATTCATAAAAACTGTACTTTCCCCATTTCTTTATTGCCTGTATTTCTACCAAGGTTTACTTGATATAATGTATGTACTTCACTTTGACCATCAGCGATGCGATGAAAGAACATGTGGTCAGCGGACTCCTCAGGCCCTGAAGAACCGTGTTAGTGTGTGGCCAGCAGCCACATGGCCTATTGAGCACTTGAAATGTCACTGATCTGAACTGAGATGTGCTATGAATATAAAATACATGCTGACTTTTGAAGACTTTAGTATGAAAATATGTAAAATGTCTCAATATTTTTTATATTGATTACATGTTGAAATGATAATGTTTAAATTTATTGGGTGTAATTAAAATATGTTAATTTTACCTTTTCTTTTTAAATGTGACTATGTAAAGTTGAAAGTTACATGTATGTGGCTCCTGTTATATTTTTTATGGACATTGCTGCTACAGTATAAACTCTAATTTTCTATTATTTCTTAAAATGCATGTTGTTAAACAGTTTATAAAAAATCAGATAGCTATATAAATAGCTTAATAATTTTTCACACCATTTGGCCATTTTAAAGCTAGTGGAACATTGTCAAGAACTTCACCAGTGTTGTTTAAGAGGGTTTTGAATGGCCCCCAGTGCCCATTGTGGCAGGGGTGGGGTAGAGCTGGAGGTGGGGGTGGGGAGGTAGCAAACATTTCTTCCCTTATATTACAGTGTTTTTATAACCCACCATATAAAGTATTAACATAAAAATTTGAATCTGGAGATCCAGTTGTATTCATTTCGTAGGATTGAATTCCCCTTTTTTCTCTCCCTCCTTTCTTGTGATTTCTTATTTAATATTAACTTCCAGGACTATATCCTAATTTCACTCCATGCTAGAATGCTTTCCAGTATTCAAAGAAACAAAGTCAGTGATGTTACACAAATGTACCTTTTTATAGACTAGAGCAAACTTGTCATAAAACAGTAAGATTGACAGTTTTTTCATCTTCTAAAAGACCTTTCATTCTGTCAGTAGAGAATACACTAGTATTCTTATAGGCAGGCTTTTAAATATCAATAATGTCTTCCTTTGTATCCTGTTTAATGGACACCTTAGTGGTTTTAGTAAATCTAGTCATTGTGTCCATATTCAACACTGTCCCAATCACCCCTAGATTTTTTTTAATACAATTTTTAAAATTAATGTGTTGTGGATATATACTCTTAAGAAGGTTTCACATGAAAAAAACAATGTGGTTACTACATTCACCCAAATTATCGAGCCCCCCCCCCATACCCCATTACAGTCACTGTCCCTGGGATAGATTTAGTTTTAGTTGGCCTTACTATTCAAATTATTTTTATTTGTGTCATTATCATCCTTTAATAAGTAATTTTAAAAGTAGAGAATTTATCACAGACTTGATTGTGTTTTATTGACATATATTAGCAAAACTATATATCATTATAATGTATATTTTTTAATTTTTAGCATATTATTAAGTTTCACCGTGCATCAAAAGCAAATAAAAAGCCCATGCAGTTACCAAGATCTATGGTTAAATCATTACTTTACCAGATTCTTGATGGTATCCATTACCTCCATGCAAATTGGGTGCTTCACAGAGATCTGGTAAGTATGTTTCTTTTAAAGTGATCAGTATGCATTTTTTCTCTCTCATTTAAAAAATATTTTTCCTTTTGGTGCAATTATGATAAACATTAGAGAAAATTTTGAAAAATGCACACAAGTAAAAAAGAAGGAAATAATCACCTCATAAACGGTCAAAAGGTACATGATTAGCTTTCAGTGTATGTTTTTTCCATTATGTTCATGCATAGCCATGAAATGTCAGTGTGTTTTTTCAAGAAATGATTGGAATAGCCTTAATCAGATAGTTGTATGTGAAACAAGTACCTTTCTCTCAATTTTGTTTTTGTATTATTGCTCATCATTA